CAACAGCGTCACTCCACAGAGCACTTAATTGTAAATAATTGGCATGTCCGTTTTTAACGATTATTCTTCTTAATGCTCTTCGGTCGGCATTTGTGATACTTTTTTTTCACATATTGTGGCTTAATATTAACTGAACCAGTTACGTTATATCTTCTAACAATATTTCTCACACTGTACCATGATAAGTCAAACAAAGTTGCAATTCCTGAGTTTGATTTCCCATATTTAAAAAATTTAATTATCAGTAACCGAATTTTCTCACTAATAACCTTTCCTCTACCCATTTTGAAAACCTTAACTACCCAAAACTATTTTAAACGTATTCTGACAGGTGTGATTAATAAAAACAATTGTCCTGGTTTTTATTTTGCACAGCCACCTATGCGTTATAGACTTATTTTCCATTGAAATGAAGATAGGTTAATATGCTGTAATTGCGACATGTGTTATTTTTATGCTGCAAATTTGATTAGGGAGTGATAAAGTTGGTGTTTTCTACTATATATTATCAAAATATTCATTATTAATATTGTAAACCTACAACACCCTGCTACATTTTTATTATTTGTGTTTGATAAGAAAAAAAACTAAGATTTCAATAGTTGGGCCCGCTGAAGTGGGAAGGGGCTCGTATATGTTGTAGACTTCGTGTGTGATTTTTTTTTCTCCATCTTCATTTCCTCGGGTTACACCCGTATCCGGATGTATGGGCATGTGTACCTACTTTTGTAGTTGCATATGGGCATTCATTTCGGGCCTGATGGAGCCAACCAGCAGAAATACGTATCGCTCGGGTTACCTATCCTATTTTCTGCTCGGATCCACTGTCCTTTTTGCGGATTTTGCCCATTATTTTCCTATTTTTTGTTATATACCTTTTTCCGCATGATCATTTTCTCTTTCTCTCTATCTCTCTCTCTCTATATATATATATATATATATATAACACCCTGTATATATATAAACCACTGATTAAAAGAAAAAACATGGAAGACACTTGATTATTTCTGTGAAGTTGTACTTTTTTAGTGCTTTTTGTTATTTAAGTAATCTACGTTAAGCAATAAATGCTATCTAACATGGGTCAAAATGGGTGTAATAAAATGTAAATTGTTTTAGGAGTACATAAATCAACTAAATTGGGAAAACTTGTTACCGTGCCACTAAAGAAATTTTCGAAATTTTATGGCAAAACCGGTGATTGTGAGACACATGAGAACTCAATATATCATACAGAAGCATTTTCAGATGCTACAAACTTTTTAAATATTTACGAAAAGAATGATATAAGAAATATAATAGGTCAGAGCGAATTAAGCAAGAATCAGAAAATCGGCAAAGATTGACTCCTATAATAGAATCTATAATGTTTTTAGGACGCCAAAATATACCACTTAGAGGGCATAGGGATAGGGGACGACTTTTTTCTACTGACAGCATGAATGACGAGGATGTTCTTAATAATGAAGGGAATTTTAGAGAACTAATACAGTTTAGAGTCGAGAGCGGCGACAATTTATGAAAAAAAAAAATTAGAGAACTCAAAAGCGCATGCTGCGTACATAAGCAGCCGCATCCAAAATGAAATTATAGAATTTGTGGCGAAGAAATCTTGATATAGTTTTAAGTCGCGTCAGGCAAAGTCACTATTACAATGTCATCGCATTGCGTATTGTTATGAAAAATATAATTTCGAGGACTTTCATGGGATTTGTAGATTGCTACTCAATTTTGATGAGATACAATAGAGCCAAACTCACAGGTCAAATTCTTGCTCAAACAGTCCAAGCACTTCATTATAACCAATAACTAGACTCAGAATTATGTGTTGGCATTAGTACTGATACGTGTAACCTAATGTCAGGTGAGAAAACTAGACCAATGTCAAATTCAGAGTATGTGCGAAACACGATGGACCAAGAGAAATGATTCTATGCTCCAATTTGAAAGCAAATTCGAGAAAATTGTAGAGGTACTAAATATTATATCAAATTGGAAAGACCGCGAAGCTTCTTCAAAAGCGGAGTCACAGAAAAATTCAGTTATGGAACAAAATGCTTTTTCAAGAGGCATTTTTTATTATTTGTTTGTATAATTAGGTGATTAATTGTCTAATCCGCTCGGGTAATTTATTATAGAGCTTTATGCCCATGTAATCAGGGTCATTTTCCGCTTTGGCAAGCCTATGAGCAGGAAATTGCAATTTTAAAGCATTCCTGGTAATATAGTTGTGATTATCGGTTATATTGTTCCCTCGCTAGAGTCCGTGTGCCCCCCCCCCCCCCTTTACCCCTTTATAAGCCCTTACGGTACCCTATGGGTTTTTAGGCCTTAGGCCTTCGTGGTAGCTGGATTATACAAAAACTACGAAATCTTGTTAAATTTGTTTTGACATGCATCAATACCTCATAAATATAGATACATGTTAAGTTTAAAATTCCCATGCCTTATACTAGGATATTTATTTTTGTGAATTTATTGCGGATTTGGTTAACAAACAGTACACATTGGTCTGAAACGAGAATAAAAATTAAATTTCAAAAAAGCCAAAAAGTCAATATTTTCAAATGGAAACTACTTTTTTTTAAGTGGGCAACCTTATACAAAATTAACCTTATATATATGATGCTGAAATACAATTATATTAAACAAGTCAATTAGATTGGCTCTATACTTCATATGCCTTCGTTGGCGCTTTCGAACAAAATGGGTAATCTTCGAGCCTGCATTTCAAAGTGTATAAAGCAAATCGATCATATTTCTGTTTCCATGGCAGATCCCCGATAGCATTAAATATTTATTAAATATATTTAAAAAATATGTGTTAAATGTTTGTAGCGACAGATTTTTAAATATTTAATAAATATATTTCTTATACATATATATGTATTTATAAAATATTCATTATAGATATTTTTAGTATATATAATTCATATATTTTTGCGATATTTTTTCCAATATTTAGAAAATATATGAGGAAAGATTTTTAAATATCAATTTTATATTTTGATGAAATATCTAAAATTTTTCGTAAATATGTACGGATATCATTGATCTGATATATATTTTGAGTGTAGTATATACAATATTCTCCATTGGTTATTTTAGCAAAACCTGTAGGAATGCTTATATAAAATTGGGTGTATAAAGAAAATTCATTCTAGATATAATAGTTTAATTTGCTAGAAAAATATTATTAAAAAAACATTCTAAGCCTCTTCTGCATCTTGCAAGTCCACTCCTCTGAAAAAAAACAAACTTACTAATTATGAAGTATTATTGAATACATAAGCTGATTTCCAGTGCAGCTCTATAACTGACACAACAATGTTTACCAGTCAGATAAATTAACCTATGTAATTATCGAAAAACTTGCCTTGTCCCTTTTCCACAAAAAAAAAAAACGCTCAAATAATGAACCACTTGGAGATACACAGGAAGCACGCTATCATAGTGAAAAGTCAAAGGTAAAATGGATGCCGCAGGCTAGCTTGCTATTATCCCATTGGTCGCTCGAGGTCACACGCACATGCGCCGTAGCCGAAAATATTTAATGAATATTTTCTAAATATTGGAGATCTAATATTTTTCATTGATTGAAAAGTAAATATTTAATGAATATTGTAAAAGAATTCATTGGAATTCATTTTCAGGTTGTGGGTTTGGCTAGACGAATCGAAAAAATCGAAGAAGTGGCAAAAAGCTTGTCAGATGCTCCGGAAAAGCTTTACCCATATAGATGCGATGTCACGGAGGAAGACGAAATACTCAAAGCTTTCAAGTGGATTACAGAAAATGTTGGACCTGTCCACATTCTTATCAACAACGCTGGTCTTACCAGGCCTACGAACCTTGTTGGTATGTAGAGGGTGGCCAATATATAACTGACTGATTTAAATTGCGCGCATTTCAGTAGGTGGCGCCGTAGTAGTTGTTTAAAGCACATGTGGTCAATTCATCATGGAGCGCTACATGAACCCACAACGCGTCCGTATTGTTAAAAGTTTTACTTAAATAATGAGTCGATTGTTGCAACGATTCGGAAGCTACGAAAAGTTTTCTGTCGAAATAATGGACCCAGTGTCGGCACTATTTGTCAGCTGGTGCGAAAATTTGAACAAACAGGTGAAGTTAAAGACTTGCCAAGGTCAAGCCGTGTTCGTACTGTTCGTACGTGGAGCGCCCTGAGACGTCTACCAGACTCGTTCTTAAGGACTGGGTGTTAGTCGCACGTCATTATGCACTATTTTAAAGAGACTTGCATTTTCGGCCATACAAAAATTCAGTTAACCCAAGAAATACAGCCTAGTAACCATGAAAATCGCCGACAATACAGTCATGTAATATAGCAGCTTAATACCCTAAATAACGATTTCTACCGACAACTTATAATGAGCGATGGAGCCCACTTCGATAGGAACGGATTTGTTAATACGCAGAATTGTCGCAACTGGGCATTAGAGAACCCTCGTGTCATCTACAGTATATTCAGATAAGAGATAGACCGGACATAAACAAGACCACGTGATCATCGAACGCTGTAACATTCGGCAGGGACGTATTAAGAGTCACGCAGTACATATTTTAGATAGTAGATGCTGCTTTGCGTAACTTTGTAGTAAATTAGCACAATTCGATGTGTATACGATTGGTGATGATATAGAAACATGTGGGGGTGGGGTAAGAAATATATAATGATGTAAATATATATAAGGGTTTCAAAATTTTCGCTTCGATTTCCAGCTTCGGATGCCGCCTGATGTTTGGTGAAATACAGTCGAATATAATCTCAAAATGGCGTTTAAATTAGCCTAAATTAAAAATAATCGTATATCTCTTAAAATTGCTTTTAGAATATTGATTAGTATATTTTTTGATTTCTAGGTAAATATGTAACCAAATTAAAACGTTCAAAACGTAAAAAAATGTGCATGGTTGAACATTGTCAGAAAGTAGATTCTTGAATAGGTTTTGCCAAAATGGGTTCAAAAATGTCAATAATTAATTAAAAAATACAGTAGCTTTATAATTACTTATAAATTACCGAATTTGATGAACGACATCTGTTATTGGAAAGATTAGCTTGATGAGCATCATCGCTACTGCCTGAAGCACCAACGTCAATAATGAATGGCTCGACTTGTTCCTCTAAAATATTGTCCAGTTCCCACATTCTCTTTTCAACTTTTCTTTCACGTGCTAATAAAGTTTTCCCATTTTTTGCGCTGTTGTATTAATTCTAGTGCTTCTTTGGAAAAGTCCTATAGGTCACAAATTTAAAAGTGTTATTGTGCTTAGCTATATAATTTTTAACCGTCTGTACATATGAGCTCAATGGGATTGAGCTCGCAATGTATGGAGGTAAACGGAGCACAGTTATTTGACTTGCTGCCATTTCGTCAATGGCGTATTTGATATTCCGCCTTGTGATCCTTGACAATTCTTAATAATTGTACTTTCAGCATTGCTTCTTCAAAGTTGATATTTTTCGAGCGGAGCCAATTTTGAACATCAACTTTCCTTGAAGCCGTTGTTGGGACCTTCTCCATTCTTCGAGAATGATAAGGCGCATTATCCAACACAATTACTGCGTTTTCCTCTAAGTTCGCTAAAATTTTGAAAACCACTGTTCAAACGATTCGCCATTCATTTCCTCGTGGTAATCTCCAGTTTTCTTAGACTCAAAGCACCACAGACCGTCAACAACAATCCATCCTCACTGCCAATATGGCAGATAATGAGCCTTTTCCCTTTACTTGGAAATCGAAGTACTAACTGGTGTAGATTTATTTCAATAAGCGAACCTTTTTCAAATGTTTTCATCACATTCAGCGAAAAAAACATTGAGACATGAGTATCAGATTGCTATAATTGGGATTATTTAGTCATATTGAAAGAAAGAATATTGAACGTCGTATGATTACTCAGCGCTTCACAATTTAATTTAAAGTTATAAACCTTTAAAAAATGAATGATCAGGAACCTGAAATACGCGCAAATATTAATATTAACAAATTATAACTTTATAAAGCTTAAAGTATGAATTAAAATGATTAGAAATATTAGGAACGGTACACAATATAAAACTTAGTAACTTTTTTTAAGTTATAATATTCGACATATTTTAAGATTATATTAAAAAATTATTGAAATATCGAAAACACATAAAAACATGGCTTAAAAAAGTTCTAACAAATGAAAATGACAATAAAACATCCACGCATTTTATCGAAAGTTATAAAAGTTTTGTTACTTGTAATATGTTTTATCTGCCCCCTGGAATTAATGTTTAGAACCTTGTTCCCAAGGTTTGAAAAACATCCGAATGTTGTCTATTACTCGTATTTACCTGCTGGATTTTTTAATCCGGTGGACAGTCCATCTAGAAAGGCCCTCCTGGATGAAGTTACAGAATCATCAACCCATACTTTACTTGTAGTGTGTCCTGCGTTCACCCACGTTTCATCAAGGTAATAAATCTTCCTGTTTTGATTTCTATATTTCCCAATTTTTGTTAAATAATCCCTCCTCCATAGCACAATTTCTTCTCTATCCAGTAGTAAACTATTACGACCCCCGTTTTTTCCATTTGAAATTTAAATGCTTCAGTAACGCATGGAAAGTTGTTCGTTTGAAATTTGGCAACGTTGTATCTCCATTTACCTCCTGCAGTACTTTATCTATAGTAGGTATTTCATTCCTAAAGAAGAATTCATGCACTTTCCTCCTAATCGCTTGCTTATCAGCTTCATCCAATGATTTAACAATACTTTTGCGATGTTTACTGGTCATTGGCTCAGAAAGGGTGTGATTTTTTTGTATTGTCTTAACACATTAAACACTGATGCGCGACACACCCCAATTTTGTGAGAAACCTTCACAACAATTTCTTTGATGGTGATGCCTCGTTCTCCTCGCGCTCGATCTTATATATATTCAAAATGACCTCTTTCATTTCTGCACTCAGGTGTCTTTTTTTAGAGCGTTTCCTAGGTGGACTACAGGAGTTTACAACTTCATCGGCAGTATCTGTACTACTGGGCATTTTGCGCAAGCAGTTGATAACAATAACAATCAATAACAAGGTATAACAATAACAACGACAAACTCAACAACTTAATAAGATAACAAACGAAAACGTCCAAAGAAATATCAAATTGCAATGATGCACACGACATACGTAACACGTCTGAACCTGAATGTGACTCTGCCTTGATACGACTGCTCTGCCGCTCGGCATAGGCATTTAATTGCGAATTGACCAATGAGGGCTCCTGTTTTACGTCGAGACGGCGGCGTTAGCGTGAAAATCACCCGAACCTTTTGTTACATCCGGTCTATCTCTTATCTGAATATACTGTATCTACGACCACTGCACCCTCGTCGAGTCACAGTTTGAAGACGCTGCAGGTAATTAATTCTCTTACTGTCGTTGTCGAGCGCTTCCGTGATATGGTGCAAAACTTTCTATCTCCTTAAATCCAACAATTTCACCTGCAAAACATGTGGTTCCAGTAGGACGGAGCACTTTGTCACACAGATAGGGATACAATGAATCTTTTGCGAACAATATTTCCGGGATGTTTAATTTCTCGATTTGGTGATGTCAACCAAGGTCACCTGATTTAACGGCTCCTGTTTTATTAGGATTTTTGAATAATGGGACTTATGTCAACAAACCAAATACTGTATAGCAATTGAAGAACAAGATTACCGAAACGATTAAAAACGTTCCTCCCGAAACCTACCAAAAAGTGATGTAAAATGTGATCAAGAGGGCTCAGGTTTGCGCAGCTTCTAGACGCTGACATTTGTCCGATATTATTTTTCATACATAATTTCTGTTTCAATAAAATATTAAGATGAAAAAATGGACGTATTTTATTTGATTTCACAAATATTCAAGATACAAACCAATCAGGTACATATCGGCCACCTGTATATTATGTGAATGACCATCTAAGTATTTTGAAGTTTCGTGAAATAAGGTACCTGTACCAAATAAGGCCAAGCTCCTTATAAGGCCATGCGTCGATTTTACAGACACTAGTTACATCTAGAATTAAAGATTTCTACAGTTCTATACATTCATTGAGATGAGTTAGCACCCATAAATGTAGCAGGTGTGGAGCGGCGCTAGATGGCGCAGTTGGCCAGTGTCGACGTGCCTTACAAAATTACTACTTTAAATTTGTCTTCGATTTTTCATGTTGTCTGGTTCTTTTGCGAAATCTGTTGTCAGTTCAATCAGGTAAGTCTATAGAACATATACAGCTAGTTATTTGTCGTCGCCAGGTTTTAAATATTTTGTATTTATAAATGTATGTTTAAGGTTATATGTGCCTAATAAGGCCATGATAACGGTTCCCATTACGGCCACTTGGCCTTATTAGGAACACGCTGGCCATTACGGCAGATGTCTTAAATTGAGATGTTTTTTTTTTCAGAAGCTATAGTCGAAATATGCCCTCTAAGAAAAGGGCGCTGTGGTCAACCGAAGCGCTTGTACAAGCACTGGATAGTATAAACGGTGGAACGTCGGTAAATCGTGCATCCAAAGAATACCAAATTCCACGAAGCACTTCGCAATCATGTTCGTACAGGTGTGCGAGAAAGAAAACTTGGTACTCGTACAATTTTGTCTAGAGAGCAGGAAGATGAACTATGCTCAAGGATAATCCGATTATCGGATACAGGAGTGCCCCTTACACCAAAGATTTTGCGAAAATCCGTCTTTTCCTATGTTAATGACAAAAAATTCGTCACACATTTAATGAAAATAGTGGAATGGCAGGTAGAAAATGGTTGAAGCTGTTTTTGGACAGACATGAAAATATTCGCCAAAGGAAAGCACAGGTTTTAAATCCAGCTAGGGCACAGAAAGTAAATAAGTACATTGTAAACGACTACTTCAAAAAACTAGAAAGTTTGCTGATTAGACTAAACCTAATCAATCAGCTCCATCGTATCTACAATGTAGATGAGAAGGGGTGCAGAATCACCATCCACCGCCAACCAAATCTGTTGGCGAGGAAAGGTGAAAGACGTGTTCACTATGTAGCTAATGAGCACGCAGAAAATTCCACAACAGTTGCATGTGGAAATGCTATTGGACAGGCAATACCACCAATGGTCCTGTTCAAGGGAAAACGTAAAAAGGATGAAGGGGTGACAATATGCCAACCGGAACAGTAATTGAAATGACCCAAAAAGGAAGTATGACGGCAGCAGTGTTTGTTAAATGGCTAGACCATCTAGCAAACTATAAGCCACCAGGAGATATTCTTCTCATTTTGATGGTGCCTCTTCCTATTTGGATGCAACTATTGTTGACGCCGCCGAAAAACATCACATCACTTTATTGTGTCTTCCGAGTAACACGACACACGTGCTACAACCGCTGGATAAATGTGTTTTCCGCAGTGTCGAATATCATTGGGAAAATGAAATACTTAACCATTACAAGCGGTATCCTGGCAGGAAGTTGAATCGTGCAAGATTTGGAGAAATTTTGAGGAAAGTGTATCCAAGGGCCATGTCGTCTGAAAATCTTCAGTCAGGATTTCGCGCATCAGGAATATACCCACACGACCCAGCTGCGATCCCGGAGACTGCATTTACACCTAGTTTAATGTCAGAGAGGCCCGATTCAAATACGGCAGCTACAGATGTTCAGGAGGAGAATGAAGAAAACCATGATGTCAGCTTTACAGAATCTGATGACATACCCCTTGCACTACTGATGGCCAACGGAACTTCAATGTTACAGATAACAGCTACTTCTAATGAAAAAGAAATAAACTCGACTCAAAAGTTTGCAGTTCTTGAAACAACAAATCTTGTGACTGGTCAAATAGACAGTGATCAATTGGATCTAAGTTTCAGGGAAGTACTTCCCACACCCGAATGGAAGGCTAACGCCACAAAAGACGAAAAGCCATCAATTCTACTGCGCAAATCGTCGTAAGAGATTTGTTTAAAGACCCAAATCCAGGTCCATCCGGCTTAGATAAAACAATAAAAAAATCTAGTGAGTCTGGAACCGTTAAAAGCAAAAGGTTCCGAAAGAATAAAGACGAAAACTGGTACTGTTTCATATGCGATACGGATGAAGTACGTGACATGCGTCTGTGTGTAGTATGCTTAAGATATGTCCATGAGGAATGTGTAGGCTTGTGTAGAGGTGATAAAGTATCATTTGTTTGTCATCATTGCGAAGGCAAAATCTAAGATTCTGTATGATTTTCTTTAAACAAGTTGACTTTTTTTATTTAAATCTGTCTAGATTTAAGTATTTTTTTAATTTTGTTTAATTAGAAATATAGCTTCGTTTATTATACAGTCTTGATTTACATTTTGATTGTGGTTTTATTGAAAACCAGATGGTGGGCTTATTTGGATACATGGGTTCCTAATAAGGCCAACGGTAGTGTTTCGAAAAATATATTTTTTTATATGAAAAGAAAAGGTCTCTGAGTTCTCCGATGTAGCTTGTGTAATAAACATATCTACAATAATAGCTTTAAAATTTCAAGGTTGTTTCGCAAATATTTACGCAGTTACAGCTATCCAAACGTTAATGTGGCCTTATTTGGTACAGGTACCTTATTACAGTTGAAAAGTTGTGAAGTATCGAGGGAATTATGTAGTCGGAACTTCAAACTTCCTTTTTAAAAAAACTTTATTTGGTTCCATGTAAGTATATGGATCGAACCGGAATTATAGTGTGTGTGTTCGCTGTGACTGAGATTGAATGACTGACTCATAATTCAGATACAATCGTTAATATAAATCAAAAGTGACGAGCTAGTAAAAAGGAATAGAATGCAATTATTATATGAATTAGTGTTGAATGACAGCAACATAACTAGGAGAAAGGGGAGAGTTAGAAGTAGAATATCCTCATTTAAGCAGATCGAACTTGTAAAGAATTTGCGTATTTACGTGAGAGATATCAATGCTTGATCAGACAAGAAGCATTTTGTTGACAACTATGGTGAATGTGCATCGTTTGTCAATGCTGAACATTAACCATAATTTTAAATGAGAGGTTTCTTGTCCGATATACCATCGATATTTTTAACGTAAATACGGACCTTTGTTTTTTGGATGTTACATGACATGTCACTCATTTCCGTCGGTCTGTCTGTCTGTCGGTCTTTCTGATAATCTTATAACCTCCTATAACCTGAGAAGTACCGCTCGGATTTTGATGATTATTTTCACACAATGGACGCAAAAGCTTGAAGCTTTAGAGTATCTTGAAATCTTGATCATTCTAAAAAATAGAGGCAAAAAAGCTTGATACTGTGGGTTATAGGGGCACTTAATACTTAATATTTTCAGAAGACGGATGTGTTCCGGTATGTCATTACTCGTAAGGTAACTTGACCAAATATAGGCACCCCTAAGCAAATTATGTCATCAGACGTTTAATATCCATTATAAAACAATTAAATTTCTGGTATGTATACCTTGGGTTGTGGAAATGAGAAAAATGTTGATCGAATAGGAAAATACAACTTTATTATAGTGTAAGCAACGAGAATTTTCGGGAGCCGCTGCCGGTCACGGGGAGTACTGCTGCGTTATCTGCTGTTATCACTTCGACCAGCCGTCGACAGGCAGTCTGAGCAGAAACGTTGGGCGGTGCGCGTCGTGCCCGGATTCCCTGCCGCTCAGTTATATCGATAAACAATATTTGTTCGTAATAAAGGTGTATTTAACCAAAACTAGTGTTCTTCCGCATTGTTTCTAACATCAGAAGTGGGATTCGCCCGCGACAACCACAGTGGATTGTGATTTGTTCGTAAACATTGGCGTTTTTGTTGTTGTTGTTTTGCGAGAACAAAGGAAATCGGGCCAGCGTTGGGACTACTTCGCAATAGTTTGAAAGTTGAGCCGTGGTGCGTGTCTGGATCACGTATTGGAGGTGCTAGTAAGGAAACAACAATGGCTTCAACGGACGAAGACCCCGCCCAGTCGCTGGTAACAGAATTGGTGAAGGCCCTGCAGTCCCAAAGGTCGGCAGAACAGGTAGACTTGCCCTATTTTAGACCCGAATAAATGAATCCAGTAAATGGGTAAGTCAAATTGAAACTATTAAGCAGAAAGTTGGATGGTCTGACGTTCAAACTCTGGCAAGGATTGGTCGATTTTTGCTAAGCGGTACCAAAAGATGGTTTGAACGTTGGAACCCAGATAACAGGGATTGGGTCACCTTTCGAAATGATTTCATTGAGGCATTTCCTCCAAAAAGAAATTTGGGGCGTTTGTTGGAGGAGGCAACAAAATTCAATAGTTCTTATGTCAACACTTATGAAAGTTATGTGCATGAAAAATCAGCCATGCTCAAGAACTTACGTGCAAATTGGTGTGAAAGCGATCTGGTTGAACTCATAGTTTACGGAATTTCTGAACTAGAAGTGCGCAATGCCGCGATGAATGCTAACTGCAGAAATATTTCTCAATTATTGGTTTTCTTGTCACCTTTCGTTAAGCATCCATGTAATGACAAGCAAAACAGTGCCGAAACAGACTCTTCTTCATTCAAAAGGAAATATTTTTGTGTTGATAAGCAAAAAAAATGTCTTTTCTAAGAATTCTAAGAAGTGTTTTCAGTGTGGGAAATTGGGACACGTTAAAGCAAATTGCGTCAAGAAAACCAAGTTAGTGTCAGACGACAGATACAACGTTGTAAGTCAACGCGACTTACCGAGTACATCACACAGTTCTGAAATTTGCAGTTTTGTGCTAAGAAAGGTCACAGCGTATCGAATTGCTTTACAAAAGCTGCTATTGATAAACATCGCAACATAAACTTTTGTTCTAGTGGAAAACCAGTTGGGTCCACCGAAATATTAATTGATGGTTATCATATTTTCTGTTTAGTTGATACTGGAGCTGATTTATCATTGATATCTGATAAGTTCCTCTACTTATTTGATAATAAGGTTGTTAGCTGCAATGTTATTTTGAAAAGACTAGCTAACGTTACAATTAAGGCTACAAAGAAGTTTACGGGTTGTTATGCGAAAATTTCTGGTGTTGATATTCCGATGTATTTTATTTTTGTTTCTGGCGAGATGTTTTGATGGGGCGTAATATTTTTGAGGATGAAAGTCTCGCGACCATAACAGATCGTCAAGGATCACGCGTTGTGCGACGTCAGCTGCCTGGCATAAATCGCGTTTCAGAAGATTTTGGTGCTTTAGTCACAGAAGTTGAAGTACCTGAAGAACATCGCGTGGGTCTTGAAGTTATATTGCAAGATTTAGTGGCATGATTACAACAGGCGATAAAGTTGGTGCAGTGAATAATGTCTGCCTGAAAATTCGTCTTGAAAAGGAAGTAGTCTTCCGCATGTCGATTATTTCAGCAGAAATCCTGTACAACAATTCTCCGAGTGTCGCATAACAGTTGGGCATACATAGAGCAAAAAGGAAACGAACAAGTTCAGAACATGCTACGACAACTCAGAGAAGGCAACCTTGATGCAAACCAGTATGCTGAAGAGGATGAAATGCTTTATTCCAAACAAGTAAATGCAGATGGTACGACAAATTTGCAGTGGTTCGTTCCTAGGCAAAGTCGTTTAGGCCTACTTCGCATTTTCCATGATGAGCAGTGTCACGTGGGACCCGAAAAGACATACGAGTCTATCGCTCAACATTTTTGGTTTCCGAGGTTGAGAAACTTCATCAAATGCTACGTCAAGTACTGTGTAATTTGTGCAGTAAAAAAGACAAGAACAGGTCCTCTACAGGGGTTCATACGACCAGTGGACATACCGAAGGAGCCATTTCATACGTTGCACATGGACTGTTTGGGTCCTTTACCAGCTTTAACTGATGGTTATAAGCACGCTTTGGTAATGGTGGATGCTTTTACAAAGTACTGCATTTTGACGCCTATGAAGTCTGTGACAACTGCAGAGGCGCGTGAAAAGCTGCAAAATGTTCTAGCGCTGTTTGGAACTCCCAAACGAATAATAATGGACGCTGCCACGTTATTTAAGAACACCTCGTTTCCAAAGTACCTGGATCGATGGGGCATCGAATACCAATTTGTAACTCCAGATGTGCATAGGGGAAATGGGCAGGTGGAACGCTATATGCGAACCATTAGAAATCTTATGAGAGTTGAAACCCAAATAAGGACAGAATGGCCGAACGGACTATGGAAGATCCAACTTGTTCTCAACTCGACTATGCAAAAATCCATAAATGCAAATCCTTTGCAGCTGCTTTTGGGTATCCGAAGCTTGACTCCGATGATACAAGCTGTGCTAAAGGATGTGTCTAAGGATCTAACTCCTTTGCGCAACCGGGATTTGGATTGACAGCGATTAGCAAAAAGGCTATTCGTCGCAAATAATTACGACACTGTGAACAAAAAAAGAAGGGACAAAGTTCAATTTTCAGTCGGTGATTATGTACTGATGCACCGAGACTCTCAGATGCACATAAGCAAGAGCGACAATGAGTTTCTTGGTCCTTATGAAGTGGTTAAATGCTTGGAAAATGGACGTCATGATATTGAGCAGGTTGGAACAACCGTAATAACAAAGGCAGCTAAGGAACTGCTAAGATCATGGCCTGTACAGTGGTCCGCCAATGTTGATATGAGAGATATACTTGAGTTTTTGGAGGCTTAGGAAGAGTCAGTAAATTTCTGGTTCCATTCTGCGATGTGCTGCCTTGCTTAATGTTGGTCTCTATCTCGTCAGAATGGAGGCCGAGATCTCCATGCAAACTGCAACCTGGTCTCTGTCTCGTCAGTAGTAGAGCCAGCTGAAGGCTGCGGTCTTCAGGGGTGTTGTAACATGGTCTCTGTCTCGTCAGTAGCAGAGCCAGCTGAAGGCTGAGGTCTTCAGGGATACTGTTATTTTGGTCTCTGTCTCGTCAGCAGCAGAGCCAGCTGAAGGCTGAGGTCTTCAGGGATACTGTTATTTTGGTCTCTGTCTCGTCAGCAGCAGAGCCAGCTGAAGGCTGAGGTCTTCAGGGATACTGTTATTATGGTCTCTGTCTCGTCAGTTGCAGAGCCAGCTGAAGGCTGAGGTCTTCAGGGATACTGTTATTTTGGTCTCTGTCTCGTCAGTAGCAGAGCCAGCTGAAGGCTGAGGTCTTCAGTGATACTGTTATTTTGGTCTCTGTCTCGTCAGTAGCAGAGCCAGCTGAAGGCTGAGGTCTTCAGGGATATTGTAAGATTGGTCTCTGCCTCATCAGTAGCAGAGCCAGCTGAAGGCTGAGGTCTTCAGGGATATTGTAAGATTGGTTTCTGTCTTGTTAGTAGTAGAGCTACTAGTACTGAAGTTTTAGAGTTTTATTTAATGAGAAGGTCATCGCCGTCACTGTTAAAGGTTTATTTGATTGAATTTACGTGCAATTCTGTAATCGAATTGTGAATTTTGGTCTTAGTACCGGTAGTGGTTGATTCAGATTTGAATCATATTTGTGAGATCATAGTTGTGGCAAGTACTCAAAGTGCTTGTATTTGATTTGATTCACAGATTCGGCTAGTGATGCAGAGGGCGTCGAGAACGCCGCGGCCATCAGGAAGGCCGTGTAAGCAACGAGAATTTTCGGGAGCCGCTGCCGGTCACGGGGAGTACTGCTGCGTTATCTGCTGTTATCACTTCGACCAGCCGTCGACAGGCAGTCTGAGCAGAAACGTTGGGCGGTGCGCGTCGTGCCCGGATTCCCTGCCGCTCAGTTATATCGATAAACAATATTGGTTCGTAATAAAGGTGTATTTAACCAAAACTAGTGTTCTTCCGCATTGTTTCTAACAATAGATTTAAAAAATAAACAATAAATGTCACATGCCCATATTATGCGCCTGGGCTCCAAATATGAGCTCTGGGTGCCCTATTTGGATACACATTTTTGTGGACTCAAGATAAATCAAAGAAATATAAACTTAAAAGAGCTTTCCATAAATTTAACAGAATTTTCTAGAAAAAAATAGTAAATATTTTATTACTTGAAAAACATAGAAATACAAAATAACAGGGAAAAACGCAAACTTTAAATGGCAGCAACAACTAGCTGCTCACAAACTAAGCACTATCTTCACATTGTGTGCATCGGATATTTTTTATAATGTCTTTTGAGGTTAAACCGCAGCATTCCTCGTGTACCCATGTCTTTCAAAGGTGCACCGCCTCATATCTCTCTTTTGGTCTTCTCCACATAAAGGACAATACCACGATTCAGCCTTGGCATTGGACAAACCAGTACAGGTAGCTTTATTTTGCTTCTTTGGTGGATTCTGTGACATCTTTGATTGCGTGTCTTTTGTAGGAAATAGTGTTCGGGTTACTTGAACGGCTTTGTAGTTTATTGCCTTTCAGCAGGCCTTCGAGCCGCAGACTTATCAGGAAGCTCTGGTATTGGGAGTAGCTGTAAAAAGATTGTAACTGTTCACCGTCTGAGTTGTCGCTTATTTCGGGAGTTGACTGTACAGGAGAAGAGGATGATGAAAAGGCTTCCGATTCCATACTTTCATCTGTCGCTTCTTCTTCGATATGTGTTCGTGAAATTGAAGCTCTGGGAGACGAGGTTGCAGGAGGGTCAACAATATTTTCATCGATATTCTCTTGAGGCCTCTCTGATAATGTTGATGGTGCAAATGCTGTTTCCGGTATTACTGTCGGAAGTTGCTCGAAAGCCTGCCGATACATTTGCAGGTGTAGTTGCTTTTGGCCATACTTTGGAAAATACAATGCCAAAGCTTGATTTTGTCAATTTTCTGTTTGGATGAACCCAACAAAAGTGCTGGAGTTCATCATCCCAATGATATTCAAATGAGCGGAATACCGATTTGTTCGTGGGTTGTAGCTCATGTGTAAAATTGCTATTTAGACAGAGCAATGTTGTGTGAGCTTCTTCTACAACAGTAACGATGGTGGCATCTAGGTGTGATTTGGCTCCATGAAAAATCAAAAGTACATTTCCTGGAGGTTTGTGTTCTGCAACGTGATGTATCCATTCTACGAATGTAGTGCATGTTATACTTCCTTTTTGGGTCATGAATACTTTAGCTCCAGGGGGAAGA